CTTGTAGCCGACCTTGAGGAAGCCGATGACGGCGCCGCGGGGCCTGCGGGGAGCGGGGGTTGGGGGGCGCCCGGACGCCGGGGCCCCCGGGCCGCGCCCGCTCACCCGCGGCCCTCGGCGTCGCGCAGCACGTAGAGCACGTGGCGGCTGCTCTCCAGGCGCGCCGCGCTCGTCACCGGCGCCGGCAGCCCCTGCGCCTGTCACCGGCACCGGCGGCACCGCGAGGGGCACCGACAGCGTCACCAACAGTGTCACCAACAGTGTCACCGCGAGTGTCACCGCGAGGGGCACCAACAGCGTCACCAACAGCGTCACCAACAGTGTCACCAATGGCGGCACCGCGGCGTCACCGTGAGTGTCACCAACAGCGTCACCAACGGTGTCACCAACGGTGTCACCAACAGCGTCACCGTGAGTGCCACCAACGGCGTCACCAATGGTGTCACCAACAGTGTCACCAACGGCGTCACCGCGAGTGGCACCAACAGCGTCACCAACAGTGTCACCAACGGTGTCACCAACGGTGTCTCCAATGGTGTCACCACGGAGTCACCAATGATGTCACCGCAAGGGGCACCAACGGTGTCACCAACGGTGTCACCAACAGCGTCACCGTGAGTGCCACCAACAGTGTCACCAATGGTGTCACCATGGAGTCACCAACAGTGTCACCAACAGCGTCACCAACAGCGTCACCAACAGTGTCACCAATGGTGTCACCAATGGTGTCACCATGGAGTCACCAACAGCATCACCAATGGTGCCACCAACGGCGTCACCGCGAGTGTCACCAACAGTGTCACCATGGAGTCACCAATGGTGCCGCCAACAGTGTCACCAACGGCGTCACCAACAGCGTCACCAATGGTGCCACCAACAGTGTCACCACGGGGTCACCAACGGTGTCACCAACGGTGTCACCAACAGTGTCACCATGGAGTCACCAATGGTGTCACCAACAGTGTGACCAACAGTGTCACCAACAGGGTCACTGCAGGGTCACCAACAGGGTCACCTCGAGTGGCACCCTGAGTGTCACCAACGGTGTCACCAACAGTGTCACCAACGGTGTCACCACGGGGCCACCCATGGTGTCACCACAGTGTCACCTTGAGTGTCGCCCCAAGTGTCACCGTGACATTTCCCATTTCCCCCCATTTCCCCCATTTCCCCCCATTTCCCCTCATTTCTCCCCATTTCTCACC